AATATGGCGGGGATAATGATCCCATTGACGTGTGTGAGATCGGCAGTCATATAGCAAGTATTGGTGAGATTTATCCCGTAAAAGTGCTTGGAGTGCTGGGAATGATTGATAGTGGAGAAACCGACTGGAAAGTGATTGCGATTAATGTGAATGACCCTTTAGCTGCTAATGTTAACGATCTTAGCGACCTACAAAACACGCCTCTGCGCGACATAGTTTCCCAAGTATACCGCTGGTTTCGGGACTATAAAGTCCCAGACGGCAAACCGCCCAGTGACTTCGCCTTTAATGGAGACGCACAATCCAAAGATTTTGCTGTTGAGGTGATCAAACAGACCCACGAGAGCTGGAAGCAGCTGACTGGGGACAAATTGAAGTTCACAACGAAACTTTGGACTGGTAATTATGTGAACAGTTGAGGTGAAAGAATGGTCCAGTATTAGCGATTCAAGTTGACCATAAATCGTACCATAGGCTTCGTAGAGTATGTTCATTTACCGTTTGATTCCACCATCGAAATCGATATACGATTGTTTTCTTGAAAAAATCTAATCAAAATGTCGGGTTTTTAATGTCCATTACTTGTGAAAGTGTCATTTAGTCGATCAATACTACAAGAAACAAGAGTAACATTATGAGACCGTTCGAATATGGAAGTGGTAGCGTTCAGACAAGTAGAGATGCAGTAAATTGTATAATAAAACAGCACAATATATCGTATGACAGCTTTGATTGGAGTTCTACACAATGCGTTCACTCAAATTTTTTCAGATCTGCATGACTCCACTCCTTGATCCCTTCCAAGTCGCTTTCGTAATCAAATACCATGCCCTTCGCCACAGCTTTCACCTTAATCTGGTGAGCCTAAACAATAACAATTTATAAGTCTGACTTGCCAAACTGCTCGTCTTGTATACAACAACTCACCCCTGGAACTAACCAGCCAAACCATTTTTCTGTCCCGCGTATCAAATCTCCACGTTGCAACATTCCCGGACGAAAGATGGAAGTGCGTTGGAATTTCATTTGTAGCACCTTGTCCTCCACTTCTCCTTTTGTTTGAGGATACAGGAACCAACTGTCCTTGTTAGCACCTTGCGAGGTTACAAGCCCGAAATACGGGACATTTGCGGCTTTGCATAACTCAGCAAACTTGACCACGTAGTCCAAATCAACTGCATCGTCAAGATTAATCATCATACCTTATAAAAAATATATTCTTCAAGCTTCACCTTTTCGAAACGCCTCTGCCGAGCCTGCATTTTTGCGGGTAGTACCCAGGCATGAAAAGGCAGCACCAATTTTGTCTGCAATACCAATATCTGATTCTGAAAGGTTGTCAAAGTCGACCTTGCGCACCTCCAACTTGCTTTTTGCCGCCTCGGCGTCCAGAGACGGAAATGTCGATTTCCACTCCAAAAATGGCACGTCATGACGCGCCAATGCAATAACTTTTGCGCACTTAGCAGAAGCTACGAGATCTGCGACAAGATCGCGGCCCACAGCGCCAGTTGAGCCGATCACGAGTGCCACATATGAGGCCATTACACTAGAAATTTCTTGAAGGAAAACACTGATTTTTACGTTAAGCTTAGGGCAAAAGTGTAATTTTTTGGTGTTTTCATATTGAGTGAAATTACAATTTCAAAATTAATGCGAATATGTGAAACAAGCAATCTTTTAAGTATTTTGCGTGCCAATCCTTTTGTGGTTAAATATACGAGTAGAAAGCACACGCCAGAAAGCAGCGAAGGTAAGAAATAGAAACGGCATTCACACCAACCCAGTAATTAATCTTGGTGCATGGCACGCTCTGTCGAATTCATCGCAATCTGATCGTACAATCCATGTGACACAAGAAGCTCTGGACGTGTTTGAGTCGATACAGTCTCGTCACTGACAATTCGAGATGTCAATGAGAGTGATGCATTCTCGGCAGCAAAGTCGCGAAAGCTTACGACCGCCGATTCACGAAAATTCTGCGTCGCAAAAGTACTAGCCATAAGCTCATCCTGAAACGCGGAAGGAACCAGCAACGCGTCAGCGCTGCCATCTCCACGTAGCATTGAGCCGGTGCTGGAAAGTGAGCGTTGACGCATTGGTCTTGACGCTAGCGTATTAGGAGGGGTACTGCGATTCAAACGCGAGCTCAATACGTTCGGTGCCGTGTAAGTTCGTGATAGATTTCCCACGTACGGAGTAGCCACAAGCTCAGCGCTCGGATCGTTAATACTGCGAATCATATCAAATCCGTTTCCTCTTGGTGCCAAAACCGAACCTGAAAGTCGATGTTCAAAGCCTCCGCCGGTTCCATTTGATGCACCAGCTCGTGGAGAAGACACGCATCCGCTCTCTTCTTCCTCTTCATCACCCGAAGTCCCTGCCCATTTCCATTTCTTCTTGGCTTTAAGAGTCAATATCGTTCGTCCAATCTTCACATGCATAGCCTTGCCCCACTCCAGTTCCAACGGCTTGCTTAGAAACAACATAGTCCCATTCGAACTGGCCGCATCATACAGTATAAAGTGGTTCTGAAAGTATAAAAAGTATCCATTTAACCCTTCAAACAACACACACCTCAAGTTTTGTACGTACATCCTGATATTTCACCTTGGCATGAAGTTGCGATACTGTACGATAACGCAGCGTCATGTTATTTGTCGTTGACCGGCCAATAGTCAAAAATTGCTGGTTCCGTGGCATGCTACAAAGAAACAGACAAAAGTCAAATCTCTTCTATACTTTAACCTATAAATTCAGCTAAACGTACTTGGCAAAACTCAGTTGAAATCGCGTGTTTGTCAGTGCCGTCGATCGATTTCGCGTCTCGTGTTGAGTGACAACTGCAAAGGTAACGTACGGCGGTGCCAACTTTTTCGCAAGCAATGATACGAGGCGACCGTCGTCCAATCGAACGCTCGTCAAGTACGTTGCTTTGCAGATACTACATACATCCAAACCATCCGTATTGGTGACTGCACACACTCTTTGATTCGGATTCTCTCCATCGGCATCCAGATTATTATTCCAGCGCTGAAGACAGTCGAGATGCACGTATTTTGTGTCGCCTTTGCAGTGACATGGAGCAACTAGCGGATTATTGTCAGCATCTTCGTCCCCATCGTAGCAAATGTAACAAAAGCGTTTCGCTGTCGTGCCTGCAACACCCAGCGGTAAATTATTGTGTTGCATCGTAGCAGATTCGTCTCCATCGCCACTTGTTTTCGTTCGTGCCTTTCGATCCTTATCCTCTTCAGATTCACCTTCGTCGGATGTATCACCCCCGACCCGTAAAATCTGTTCGTCATCTTTATCGCGTTCGCCACTATTTTCAAAGTCGGGCGATCGTTCAGTTGGGTGAAACGTCTGTTGTAATGGAAGACTCAAATAATTGTCCTTTATAAATTCATACTGGACTTTTGTCAGTGCTTCTTCCGTCTCTTCACTCGTTGTGCGATTAATTTCACAGACTACTAGTCCAACCGATCCAATTCGTAATAGATCACCCAGACATAAGCTATGACCACTAACAGGATATTTTTTACTTCCCAATACTTTGCATACACCAGTATGACCGGAAAAGCGTTCAATGGATGATCCACATACAAATTTTCCCACCGAATTATCAAATTTTAAGGCAAGTGTCGTAGCGCGTGTATCGTTCAGTACGCAATCTTTCATTGGCGTGGGTATAGCTCCTGTGCTTTCCTGATTATTTGGTTGCTCGATTACTAGCTCAGTCGCTTCTTCCTCACGAGGTGCAGGAAAGTCGCGCATGTGAAGTGCCTGAAAACTCGCGGCCAGGTCGCGTTCCAGCGCCGTGTGGAACGGTGCGTCGGTTTGCGTGACGGCATTTGAATTAGTACTGGATGTGCCAAAGAAAGGATAGGAACCGCGCTGTGGACCATGCAGCACAGCGCCGTCTTCATCTACTGTGAATTCCAGCTTAGGTAACGTGCGACGACCGCGAGACGCACTCACACGAGCGCCTGAAGCGTCTGTGGTGGCGCGTAGCTCTCCTGGTGTCGTTGTCTCCGCCTTTACTTCTACCCGACGTACACTCTTAAATCCCATGTGTTTGGCACGCAACATGGCACTCCGTGGTTGGTTAATTGAGACCGAATAAGTCTCGAGAAGACCGAGATCCAGATGACCTATGCGGGCAAATAGCGTCGGCTGTAGACGACGCAAGGGACTCGTGCAGGGATAAGAAGTTTCAGCAGAGTATCCTGTATAGACAGATGTATACAGTGCGTTCTGACGAGCACTAGGAGACGAGCTATCCACCGGCGCAGCAAAGTGCGTCCGGGGGCTTTCCTCACTTGACGGCTGATCGTCGTTTGTTCTCGTGGTGAAAAACGGGCATTTGTATTACAATTTTTTTCGTATATTTGATTAGTGTACGCTCAAATAAGGTGATGTTTTGTGTACAACCTGATTTTTCTGACTCAGAATTAGTTCAGTCCAAAACTTTCGACATACTCGTTTAATCGAAAATTTAGATTGAATCATCTTTGAAGATGGCTAGGGGTACACTGGCTGCCAGTTTATGCACAGGATAAGCGGACAATGGTGTATAGCGGTCCTCAAGATTTTTGGGTAATGGTCCGTGCAGTGGAGAGAAGAGTCTAGCGATCTGAATGTCAGCACGCTAGAAAATGAAAGCAGCATATCAATTTTCCACTTCGCTTATGATATTATGAGGCTGACGCAATCATTGATCAATTTGGATTGATGAAGAGCATCAAAATCTTGGAAATAGACTTGATCTAACTGGTGGAGTGCTCTTTTTATCGATTTAACTTATCAATTTCGTGTTGCTGTCGCACCAGATTTATCGCGCTATAGCAACAGCTGACATGAGCATGATAAACAAGGCACGTCACGACGCCGAAAGAGGTTATTACGAATGGGAGTATCACCTCGAGATATTGACGGATGCAGAGCTGATCTCTAAGTAGCATACGCTGAAGCATTCGCGTTCATCAAATATGTGGTCGCTCATGCTCTGGCAGTTTGTGCAGATCCATTAGTGTATACTGTCTTTAACAGCATGATCGTGGAACGTTCCATCATTTTCATGGATAATTTGTTGGTTTTCATGGCTTTGAAAACACAAAAATCTCTCAAAATGCAATTACTTGAGTGAAGTGTCAGCACAAAGAATGATCATCTGGAATTAAGAGAGGTGCTTCGAGATGTCATCGTGAGTCTGACTTGGGTGAAGTATTAATCTTTATCTAAGTATGGCAAGAGAATTATAATATAATAATTTATGAAAGTCATGATGACCATGTCATCACCGTCATTGACCCAGCTAAGCTTCGAAAAGTGACACATATGGGGTGAATTCAGAACGAAAGTACGAAAGTTGAGCAACCGTTATAAGATTCTTACCTAAGATCGTTTAATTAATGGGTCAAGACTGTCAGATATCAGCAATCGTCAACGTCAAAGAGTATGTAGCAATTTATAATGTCTCTCAACAGGATGAGATAAAGCCTTTGATGCCAACACGAAATCTTTATTTTCAACATTTTTCGGACATTATGAACGTAACTTTGCTTAAATTTATAAGCATTTCGACAGTGCCCGACAATGATCCGCTTAAGTTTACAACAAGTTATTTATGAATCTGACACACTCACACACTTTAATTTCGCACCTGTACAAGTTCCAGCTTGATCATGCGAAACTAAGTAAATATTGCTTTGCCATTTTTGCGACCCGCCATACATCTGCAATCTCTTTCAGTCGTCATCCTCAAGTGGACGGTGGAATGAGCTTGATTTTGTTTTCACGCAAAAGTAAAGTTAACGGTGAGTTTGTCGCTTTCGTGATATTAAGCTTCATTTAAGTGGTTGTTGGATTTTCAGCTTATTCCTTTCGGTACGTGAAACAATCTAGTTTTTCTTCGCGCTGCGGGGCGAGATATTAGCTTCATTTCCACGCGGATGCAAAGACTTTGCTCCCATTTTATCAATTTGACAACATTCATTGATGACTTGATGACTAACATATCAAAACTTTCGCATTTTGGAGTCAATGAATGTCCGTACCGACCTTCCTCGTTACGAAAAAAGTTTTCGATCATTGCACTGTCGCCTTCGTCATATCCCCTCAGGTTTGTGTGATGCCAGAGGTAGCCTCATTATGAAGTGACGCAAACTCGTCAATGTTAATGGCTTCCCATAGACAAGTTTGCAATATTTGTCTCAATGTTAACAAGAAAGCATTGGAACGAGCTCTTAGTGCTGTATATTTGGATAATTTAGCTCCGAAGAATGGTGAGGCATCTTTTGCACCCAGCACCACCACAAAGCGAGTAGATCCACGCTCGTCTATAGCTTGGATATTAATATTTTTTTCATAATTTTGCTTTTACAAAAGATTCCAAACCGCCATACTTAGCTCGTCCACACTTCAGAAGATAACGCGTAGCTAGTTTGATCAAATTAAATAGTACTCCGGAGTATAATGGTGCGTATATGTATTCAGTAAATTGTACTCGCCGTTATTTCTGCCAGTTTGTCTACAAAACATTGATGAAACTAGCTAAATTTGCTGCATATCATTTGCAATACCAGAAAGCTTTCTGTTCTATAATCGGAGGAAGTCACAACAGAGGTACAGCCGTGAAGCTGACCCTTCATGCGTGAAATAAAGAGGCCATTACGAGAGATAACCTTCCGCGGCACGGTTGCCGAGAAAGATTACCTCTCGTTATGACCTTTTTATTCACTGGATCTGCTAGGACTTATCGCCATTTGATTACTGAGTCTCTGTGGAACAGGTTGTGCTTACATCACTTACTACGAGTCAACACGACGCGCATTATAGGCTTCTGTACCGCCCCGAGAACTAAGACTCACCTCGTGCTTTGCCCAAAAGGAAACGTCTCTCAAGCGATACGGCCCCCTCGGCAAGGGCCATTGCCGTGTGACGCAATATTTTCTCGATACCCAATTTAATCTAATGATGAATTTTTGATCCGCGGATATATCCGTGGTAGGCCTCTCCCCACCACTTGTCATACTCTTTTGCCAATGGATAAATGGGGCTCTATGATCCTTGGTGATAGCCGTTATACTTTTCAAAATCAGTGATTGTGTGTGTTCGATACACCTATGGCGAATGATAACGTAAGCTCCTCCTCGGGTTCTAACGGCACAGCTTGATTGTTATTTGATTCTCTGCACATATCCCTTGAAAGAAAGTCTCTTAAATTAGCGAGTGTGTCAGCGTGGGCCAAACGGGGAAGGCTTACAACCCCTAGGATTACCGGGTTATCCAATGAAAGAATATCAAAATTCCTCCACCTTAAGCCAGTGAGTTTTAATTGTTCCGCATGGTCATCGCATTACGCAAGTTACTGCCCCAGCAGTGTCATTACATCACTAAGAAAAAACATATTAGATGACGTCAGGTCGCTGCCATTCCATCCTCAACTTTTATTAGCCTATTTAAACCGGGTCTAGCTTTAGATACCGGTCCATGGTTCGTGTCTTTCAGGCTATACATGGATGAAATCGTATGTCAAAGACCAATTCGATTGACAAGTGCCTTTTGGTAAGACGCGCGGACATATAAGCATCAATTTCTTTACAGATTTCATCTTGGTTTAAGCAATGACACATAGTTTCTCGTCGCCCTTAAAGTTAGCATAGAATTCTATTATTTCGAAGAGTCCGGAAAATTTCTGACAGCGACCAACTATAAAGTTCATAGCCCAAGATAGCCACCTCCCTTTTGTAAGCCTCCAATCATTGATCTTGACTACCAAAGGCTACCATAAAGCTTATGTATATTACAGTTGGCCGCCATGCGCACGTTAATTTTTACTTTTCCCCGGTAGGGTCTGGAAATAGATTTGCATAGGAGCTCGTCTTCTGCTCCACTAAGTTTAAAGCGTAGGGGGCTGAATAGCATAACAATTACAACGAGATACCTGAGTGCTTCATTGTTACTGAGAGCTTATCTAATTGTTTGCCTCTGACGCACTCGCTAGATCGTGGATATTCCTGCGTCCCAAGCAATCCTCGTGAAATGGAGGTCGCGCCCGGCACATATTGCAAAACTTCCGCCGTCTCACACGGGGTGAGGTTTATGCGAACGTCTCGGTGCGATACGTACATGAAGAACACGCTAAATGCTCGCGATACTACAAGAAGTCTGCCATCACCTTCAATTTAGGTGTTTTCAAACTTGGACGTACTTTTACAGTTTCTTCTACCCAAATGAACCAATGAGAAAATAGACAGCACGCAGTAAGCTTGAAGAGGCGGGGCACAGACTGACCGAGAGAAGTTGGCGCTTTAACTGTCATTAAGCCAGAAAGTTTTGTTTACTGAAGGATCATTCGCGCGCGAACTCTCAACTCGAATATGGATAGCGCGGCACGCAGTTACTCTGTTTCAAGCGGGGCCGAGTCATCGACTTTCACAGAAATCATTCCCTCTTTTGTGGTACGTTACTGTCCCGCGGGTGAAAGTAAAGGAACAAGATAGTTCATGACTAGCATGCAAAAGTAATGACGATGATAAGCCCCTACCGGACAAATCCGTGTGTTATGTGCTACATCGAGGTCATTATTATCGACAGTTGAGCGAATGCATACTCAGCGTCACTAAAAAGTAGAGTCAATTCCGAATCTTTGTCACCGTGTAATTATGAGCGAATGATGCACGCTTCTAAATGAGCGAGCACACACATCTTTGGGTGTGAAATAATTTATGCGAGATGCAGCCTTATTATATCTGGGAGCACAAGTCTTTAGCTCGACTGCCATCTTCAAAATGAATGTGAACGGGGTTTGAATGCTTAATTTTGTTTTTTGGACCAAAAGACTCATTTTACAAGCCTTTGTCTTTAGTTGGTCAATAGAGGACGGTACGATTGGCGGCCCAACCTCCAAGACTAGTAACATCTCGCGTGGCGGGGATTATTAGCTTAAAAAACTCTGGGTAGCACAGTAAAGAGGCACCTGTCAAGCGCATTCTTTCTCAGAGCCAGCATTGTAGCTCGACATGCATTGGCTTCTGTGAGAGCGCAAACTATTCTCACAGTGAGGCCCTCCAGCTCTTCGAAGGGAGAAATGTAAACATTTCTTTCTTAACGTTAGGAAGATTGATATTGCCAGGAATTTGGTCATGCCCATGATTGGGCAAAGTCAAGTTGCGCTAGTAGTCCAAGCTAGGAGGCAGTGCGCAGAATGGTCACTTACGTGAAAATATTCTGTAGAAGAGGCATATGCAACGTGGAAGAAAATGATAAATGTAGTGAGTACACTGAAAAGGTCCCACGCGCTTTAATCGTAAAAAGGCTTTGGTAGGTCATCATGCTGCTTTTTTAATAAAGAAGAAGCACTTTTGGAGCGGCCACGAAGCTTAAAAGTAGACCATAATTGAGCAAGGTTATTGAGTAATATGTCTCTAGTTATTTTGGTAAAACTTGATGTTCAATGGTGATGGTAAGCCAATATTACGCTAATGGGGTATAACGACAGGTTCGGTCGATGTATTGAAAGATAATCGCTGTTGTGACGGCAGAGAGCGTCTCAGTTTCACGGGTTCGTCTATGTTAGGCGGAATCGAAGCGTGATAAAGGTGATGTGTCCAGATCCCGTGGAGACATGCAACTGTTTACTCGTGAACAGTACAACCTGGTCCTGAGGTATCTGTGCAAATTAGTTAGCGAAACCAAGGGAAGAGTCCACATAAAGGCTTTACTGTTCTGTGACAACAATCGGGTGCACTCGTAAAAGGTACCAGTCTCCTCTATTTGATTCATATAAAAGCTCCTGAGGATATTCCTTAAGTATACATGCAAGAAATTGCAAGACGGTAAGAATGCCGACTTTATACTGATAATACCAGAGGAAAACAGAGCTCTTCATCTGTTATGGATGATTCGGCTATGAGCACCCGAAATACTACATATGCGTTGTTTCGTGCAAAGTACGTGTGGTAAGACATACAAACCCTTCAACTCTGCACCGATGTACTGTGTCAGAAGGGCTAATCAAGTGGTAAATCACACATGCTTTCAAAAACCTATGTGCGATCTTGATTTCTTACGCAAGCCCTTTTTCGTTGCCAGCGTACGCATGCTCTGCTCCAAGCCCTTAAAATTCCATAAAGCTCATGTGTCCTTGCGCACAGCTCATCGCTGCCAGAGAATGGCATGATGATCACTGCAAATGGGTGCTGTGTCCGTCGCACATATAAATTGTTGACCTTTCGAGTTTGAGCAACACTAATTATATATATCCGCACCACCTGGATGCCGAATCACGAATTCGCCTTCTACTTTAAAGACTTAAACATTGTGATCTTGTGTACTTTTTGCATATTCGGAACAGTTGTATAAAAGTCACATTGCACTTTGTTGCAGATTTAAAAATGAAAATTGCAGAAATGATTTATTTGTCACTAATCATCATGATGAAATTCCGTATAGCGCATATCGAGAGGTTAGCATAACTCGCTAACCTCTCTTACTTAAAGTCTGAGCGCCCTTGTCATACCGCGCAAATACGGTTCAGAAATCGTCATCACGGTATTCATTTTGTGCTTCTAAGTCTCGCTCCAAATCCGTGGGACAGTAGTATAATGTGGATGTAGACTGTAATAGAGTAGGTACTCCGTTACCCAGTCCGCCACCAGAATGAGATCCCACTGAATACACAGTCATTTGTCCTAAGGCAAGACACGCGCTTTGTAGAAGCTCTTGAAGTACCTACTGCGTCGGGAATTCTTCTTTCCCTCTTGTGCCTGAATTTACGAGCATTGATCTCATCAATGATTATCGCTCTTACTTGCTCGTTATATACAATAGCTCGAAAGAAGACTAGGCCTTTGCAATTGATGCGCTACGAGTCATATTTGGTGAGATAATCAAGGTGTTTTCCGGTAAGAACGGTCTCAGTAACTCTGATTTAGACTCCTGGGCGCTACATGAGAGCTATATAGTTAAGCAGACATTTGTCTACAACAACACCTTCAAAGACGAAAATGTTTTTACTTTCGCATCGTCATTGCACGGCTTGCGCAATTTGTGTCCGTTTTCTGCGTTTAAGAGGCTGACGAGATCTCACGACGATGTCCAACTAGTTTTAATGGATTAGACCTGACCTAACGGGCCAAGCTTGTCCGTCAGCAAGCGCAATAATTGCAGAGACTTATATTAATGTTGCCTTAGACTAAATCACACGGTGGTTCTGGATCAAAAATCGGAAGTTGGTCGCCATGTTACGGCTGAGCCCTGATACACGGGTCTACCACTTAGTCGTAGAGCACAAAGTGTACTCGGACTAGTTGGACAAGTAGATACTGACCTTGCGGGGCCACCATGGTCCTGGTGATAGTGCCGAGGTGATCATGGATTAGTTTGATGCTGGTAAAGAAGGCAACGTACTCCCTGTTTATTTTGTGTCTTCACGTGTCAATCTCAAAGAAGCAGACGTTTGATTAGAACGGCTTCATCGTTCAGCGTGTTAATTAGATAAATACGATTAATGTACGACTCAGCAAAGTGCATTTCCCGACGTCAAACTGAAAGAAGATGTGAATCTCCGCCGGTGTTTTCTGAAAGTAGCTCTAACCATTTCCATGAGCTTAGTCTAACGGCTATCGATCAAATCTCGCGCTCAAAAGAAAGCCAGTCTCATTCACGTTTCTCTTACTTCGAGGGTATTTAGACAGGGGAGTGCCAGATCGACGCTCCGACGTCGCCAGAGCAACCTTGCCAAAGTTAAACCTTAACATAAATCAGCTCACAAAATGAGGTCTACAAGACAAATTGGAGCCCTGGTGAACGCGCTGATCCATCATCCATGCCAAAGGGAGTATCCCACCCCTTGCTTATTGAACAAGGGCATCGAAGTACAACCTATCCGATTCTAGCCCTCATGAGCTTTCTCGATTATGGCAACACATTGATATCTCCGAGATCATGCCAATACCAGGATGACGCTGTCTGATCTTCTTCATCATGATTAGTAGCTTTTAGACACCCCATGTGGTCTGAACTATATCTGCCTTCAGTAGCTCAGCTTCAAATGATGAACACATGCTACTTCATCGTCAGCAAAACGGGTTTAATCTATCTGCATGACCTGCGGAATATTGAATGTGGAACTCGACTTCTATCTGGCCTCAACATAAATGGGACAATGTAGCGTATCGCAATCAATCTTATGGACTGTGGACACCGCATTGAAGGTAGACCAACTAGACCCTCATATCTAAGTGTGCTCTGCCTGTCGCATGTTGCGTTCGCATATAGTGGCTCTCGGCAATAGCGTCGTGCCCCTAAAGCATGACGCTCAATCTTCATATGGTCAGATTCATCAGTTTTGATCTGGACTGCAGCGGGTTGATATTCGTTAGTCAACTCAAGTCATCGACTTTCGTCCACGAAGATTAAAGCCAGTTCTTGGTGGTGTCCAAAGAACCCGAAGATTAGCAAATTAATTAAGTAAAGCGGAATACAGGCATACTGTTTACACGACATTAACTCGATGAGTGGAAGCAACTAAATCAAGCACTGTGGTCTCTTTGTGCAAGTGCTCTAATCAAGCTCTCCACCAAGCAATTTAACCATTCCGTCCAACCAACTGTCGATGAATGGTCAGCGGTGGCCGTATGCAATCAGGTGCCGAGCAACTTCAACAAAAATCTGCCAAATCTGGCTTTTACATGTGGATTTTGATCCAAGACATAGGCCATCGGAAAGCCAGGTTAGAGAAATCGCTGTCAAGAAACAGCTTAGCTGAACCCTTACCAGAAACGGTCGTAAACACATTTCTTAATTCATTTTAAACAACTTCTAAGAGCCACCCAAAGGATAATCTTTACGGCGTCGCTGTCAGCATTAGTGTAAGTTGTCTTGCTTAGACTAGCCACAAAGACCACAAAGACATATTACTGTTTGTGTCTTTTAGAAGACCAAAATTAAAGTTTATGCTAATAAAGTTATCTCCTAAAACGGCATACTGTCAGGTAACCCCGACGCATGCGGCGAGAACCTAACCTGTCAACGAGTTTTGCATGTGCACTCATATGAGATATGTCACTTGTACGAATTGGACCACCAGTGCTTGGCGCTTACAAGCGCTATGTCTAAAAATATTCGAAGCGGCCATATCGTGTGCGTCGTGCAAAACTCTGTACTTAAGGGACCACCAGGTGTTTAGTGTTGATTGATCAGTGCTGAGATATATTAGGCTTAGTAATAAGGAATACAAGAAAACGCGCAACCAAACTTTCATAAAAAGGCAACTGAGTTTAAAAGGTTTCCTTATTTCCCAAGCTTTCAGCAACACAACATATGTTACATCTGAACCATACCTTGTACGTATCGCCTCGTCATTGCGTGGCATCATCATCGTGATTACTGGTATATTTCATCGTCGGGCCGACAGGAAAGCGCATCCGCCATGCCCCCGCTTTAATCTTTCATTAAGTTGTAATCAGCAAAGAAATTAAGGTAGTTAGCCATGTTCTGTTATAGTTGCGGCGACGACGCCGCTGTGCGACGAACCATTATATGAATCAAAATTGACATAGAAATAGGCAGGTGCAATCTGAACTTGGCGAATGCATACTTTGTCGCGAGTACTTCCTTGTCATCAAGAGGGGGTTTTAAGCCGGTGAGATTTAAATGCGATGACGCTTTCATGCCTATAAGTATCTAACCAGATAAACGCGTGGCCTATTGAAAAGTCTGAAGCGTCACAAATGGTGTTGTGGAATGGTCGAAATGTACCCGGTTGAGCCAGAAATGGGGCATGTATAAGGCTTCTTCACAGCCATAAGGACCGCCTCTTTTATCCTGACACATTTTTCTCATGAAAGGTCGGTGAGAGGCCGTGTCATGTCGGTAAAACTTGTGTAGTAGTTCTCAATTTTTCTTAGGGTTTGAGACATTGGCTGATTGATAGTGGTGGCCCTCATTTCTGCGAGAGTGCCTGCAAGTTATACTTTCCAGTAAAATAACCCCCGAAATACAAATCTCGTCGGCGCCAAAACTACACTTACATACATCGTCAAATAGCTTACTGAAGCGCATACCTTCGCGCGATGCTCGCAGCTATTCAGTGATTTTTCATTGTGCCATCACGAATATGTAGAAATATATCGCCGAAATAGGTCTTTGCATAGGCGCGACGCGGTCTAAATAGCGTTGTCACCGGCACTGAACAAGGTGCAACCAATCATGCCGCTCTACAGTACGTCTTCTTTAAGAGTCGGCATGCTCGTTGGAAAAGCGGTTGCATCGAGCTTATTATGAGCATGCTCGATATGCCACTTGCCCTTAGCTTTTCTAAGACAGAAAGCCGGCGCAGAATAAAAAACGTTAGTTTTTTCACCAAATTTGCATCTTGTTTTACGCGAAAAATTTAATGACGTCACATCGATCTCTTTGTGAGGTCCATTACCGTGAGACGGAACATTTGGTCCCAAGATTCAAGTTATGTCGCACTCTCCGATAGGGGATGATACGCGTTTTGGATCTCTTGTCGCCGCATCATCGTTTTCCTGCATAACTCGCAAGCTTTTAAAGTATAAACACTTTATTCTTTGGATGCAGTAATTTGCGAGCGTCTTCAATGACAGACGCATTCATGACGATGATGTACTTAGCTTCTCCTAATGGTGGGCCGCGCAGCACGTTCAGCTGCACTTTGGTTAGTACTCTTGACCTGGTCGATGGATAATTAATACTGTGCATGGAAGGAACATAACCCTCTCATTGGAAAGAGTGTTCCAAGCGAGATGCTCTGAATTTATGCCACATGGACTGTATAACGCACCAGCGACATTTGATGGTCTTATTTTACAGCTGTTTAGGCCATTTCGTGGCTATGCATAATTCTATTTCGGCGATGTATGTCGATAGTCAAGGAGAGCACAGGAAGATGGGTGCCGAAAGCCACATTGAACATTTAAGAGCGGTGCTCGAGTGTACGCCTTAAAACTTGGTGATGTCTCTGCCTTGCAGCTCTTTACAAACATTCATTACAGCCGATTCCCCAAGCTTGACCCGAGCTTCTGCTGGTGGTGATATGAGAGGATTACAGCCACCGTTACTATCCCGGTTAGTCCGACCACAAATGTAAAGACATCCACGCCACGTTATTATGGCGATTTTCTGTGCCCGGTGGACCTATCGCACGGTAGTGCTACCTCAGCAAAGTCGTTACATCAAAACAAGGATAGGCTATTCACAACAACTAAAGTGTCTTGCCCTTCTACTTTTAGCAGGATCTCGAGCAGAGAATCCCATCTTAAAGGTGTGAACAACTGTCCCGTCAAAGGGACACACTAGGGACCGCGACATGACATCGCTCATCCATGTCAGCAAAAAATCTGGACACTGCGATATACGATGGCTTATGTTTGTCTCATCTTGAAGGCGCGCCTATTGTCGCTTCTGCCCTCTTAACCACGATCAAGACACTTACCAACATTGCTGCCTATCAAGTGAGACAATCATTTGTTTTATACCAAGGGATTAGAGCTTCGAAACCGCTTCAGAACGGCTTTCTGCTTCCATACAAAGTTGATATTTCTGGCATGTAATGCTTCACAAGGGGGGTAACGCATGGCAGCAAATGCTTCTAAGAATATATGACTCAGAGCCTTTTGCCATGCTATAAACAAGAATGCAACTTGATTCAAGATCCAGGACGAGACAACGTTCCACGCTGATAAATCCTTCAGAACTCAAAGGAAGACTCAAACAAATCTCGACCAATATTACTAGTATCTCCATCGCAAGCGCGCGCATATGGCATCCCCAATGCCTCCACGTATTTCGTCATTGCACGAAATCCTTGGATCAATCAGGCCTCAAAGGGCTTCAAAATGTCCGGATGTTGATTTTGAGATCTGTGAGCTCCACCACTTTTAAGAATAGTTTTTTTTTCAAGTTTTATATTGACCCCAACCAGGTATAATAGAGCCCAATAAATTCTCAGTAAGCCGGCTCGCGCGTAAAGCTCGACATTTACCCGCGAGAAATACACGGATGACCCTACATGGGAGCCCATCTACTTACATCCCCTCATTTGAAAGAGAGGAGCCTGCGCAACGCGCATATGATTTGTACTACCACAAATGTTCTATCCGTGAATACATGATTCTACTTCGCAATCGAGCTACCATTTCCTTCCGCATAAATATTACTGATTTTCTCAACTATGCTTGCATAGCTTACTTCCTCACCAAGGATATAATCTATGCGTCTAGCATTACTTCGTGAAGTCCTCGTTAACAACTCATCGAGGTGTAGTTTGTATTCACGATGCACGTTGATTAATCGGTCGCATTTATCAAGTGGATAATCACAACTTTAAGTGGACGAAGCATTTTTTATGTCACATCGTCCGCTCTTCGATTGTATAGGACACCAGAGGGTACATCCTCTCTCTATAGTGTCGATTGGTTACGCGAGTGTGATCTTGAAGCGACGCACGTATGGTAATGGCTCAATTACTGCAATGACACACAGTTCGAATCGCAAAAAGGATCAAAAGCTATTTGCATGAGCTGATAACAACCATAATGAACGAATTGGTACCCGTTATGATTCTCAAAAGAATGACGATCAAATCGCTGCTTGGATCATTTGGACCTTACAATTGAATTAGAACATCTTAGCGGATGCACTGGGAAAGGTGGAAATACGATTCATGCGCATTCAAGAGATCCAGACAGTTACATCACATGGTGTTTAAGTTTTTATCAATCAAGATCTAACGTCGTAATATATACATATATTCAAAATTCTATGGAGAATTTAGTAGAAACGACTGGTGGAGAGTTAATACTAAATCTCGAATGTATCGCAATGCTGTACCAATTGCGAGAAATGGGGTACATAGTGTCATTTCTTCTTGAAACAAACTATGATAATGTAGGAGCTGGTGATGGAGTGTTGAAAAAGTTGAATGGACAAACTATCGAGTGGAACGTTGTTGGACAGATACAACTTGTAGCTGGTATCACTAGTCTTTCATTAAGTCGTAATGGTACCCAATTGTTCGCTGGTACATCAGCGGAAAAATGTACCATATTCGTGCCACAACTTTGGCACTTATACAAGCACAACCTGTGCCTTTGGTTCATCGTGCCAAGAATTTAGTACAATCTGGGCATATGAATGTACCACTTTACAACCAAAGTCACAGCTCATCGTTGTGAAGTAACAACAATAACTTCAAATACCCAATATATTGTAAGCATACAAATGATGGGTTCAAGACACCTCTGAATAACGTGAAAACTGCATAACAAAGGAAGCTTCTCCTTGCGTTTTCGATCGCAACGTCGTAGCATAGCCAACCATATGAGTAAGAGGTACAAGAGCGTAGACAACTGACCGACTTTGACTCATAATCACTTTGCGACCTTCATCTTTAATTGCAGATTCCACATTTTGAATATGTGCACGTCGTTGTGAACTCAAATCGGCAAGTACGTCACCTATAAAGCGATCAGGCGAACGTACTTCTAGTTTCATCATAGGCTCTAAGATCACAGGTTTTGCTGCTTTTAAAGCTTCTTTTAATGCCAATGCAGCCGCTGCACGGAACGATACAGCACTTGAGTTGACATCCCATTCGCAATTGATTTCATCCACACAAACTTTAACGTACGCCACACGGTTCGAGGTCAATACTCCACGACTGAAACTAGCACGTAAACCTTCTTCAATAGCTAAAGTAAAAGCATGAGGCAATTTCTTTGCTCCCTGGTTCATCCACTGAATGATATTTGTACTATCTTCATCTTCTTTATGGCTCTCTATCCTTAGAAGTGGAGCAACGTCCACTGTAAGCTTTGCAAAGTGACGATCTGTACCCAACATCACATCGTGTGTGTATGGAATGGCAGCATTATCGGTAATACTTTCCAAGTAAGCTACACGCATTGCACCAATAGATGGTTCAAGCTTATAATCGCTATTCAGTCGCTGTTTGATTATGTCCAGATGAAGTTCTCCCATACCGGACATGAGAGTCTGACCGGTTTCGTCATCGAAAGTTACGATAAAGCTCGGATCTTCACGTTGCAAGTTCTCTAGCGCTGTCTCCAAGTCTTTTTGCTTAGCACTTGATTCTGCTTCAATAGAGCACGTAAAGACTGGCTTTGGAATCTGAACACCAGGTAAAATAACGTGATGACCACTTTCTTTCGCGCTTACAAGTGTATCGCCTGTAAATGTGTGTTTTAATCCTACTGCAGCTCCAATATGACCAGCTGAGAGAAATTCCACAGCTTCTTCATCATCAGCAGCTACGTGCATTAAACGTGTTAAACGTTCCTTTATCCCACCACGAGAGACGTTAATTAATTGTGACTTGGCGTTTAAAACACCTGAATACACACGAAAGAAAACCACAAGACCACGCTGACGATCATGTTGGACTTTAAACGCTAAGGCACACAATTGTTCGTGACATGATGGTTGTAGCTGTATTATCTGATTCTCTTTGAACTGACCACGGGTTTTTGTGTTTGATACGACAGCGTGCGCTTCAAACGGAGCCAAGTCTAAAGGGGATGGTAAATAATCAACAATGGCATCTAAAAGCGGTTGAATGCCTTTATTTTTCAAAGCACTTCCACAAAGTGTCACGACAACTTGAGAAGCCATATCACGCTGCACTGTAATTCGTCGCAATGCTGCCTTTAACGTCGCATTGTCAATTGTCTCATCCATTAGAAAGAGTTCTCCTAGTTCATCATCAACGTTTGAAGCGTATTCAATAAGTTTCTGACGTCCTTCCATTGCTTTCTGATACAGCTCTGCCATTACACCACCTGCAGAAGGTAGCAACGGAAGACGCTGAATCTCTTCACCTTCTTTATCCAACCATTTGATCAATTGCATATCAACTAAATCCAAGATTCCACTCAATTCTGCTTCTTCTCCAACAGGTAGTTGAACACACAATGTCTGGACGCCAAATCGAGTTTTTATCGACTCACATGATCGTATAAAACTGGCACCTTCGCGATCTAATTTGTTTACAAAGACGATTCGCGGCACTTTGTATCTATCTGCTTGTTCCCAGACTGTCTCGGTCTGGGCTTCCACGCCAGACACACCGTCGAGCACGGCTACAGCACCATCCAACACACGTACAGCGCGCTCAACTTCAATTGTAAAGTCAACGTGGCCTGGTGTATCGATTAGATTGATGTGATGATCACGCCATGGAAAGCTAATGGCAGCGGCACCAATTGTGATACCTCGCTCACGTTCTTGAGGCATAAAATCCATCGTAGCATCTCCATCGTGTACTTCACCCATTTTTTGTATAGTTCCAGAGTAATAAAGCATACGTTCCGTTGTTGTAGTCTTACCAGCGTCAATGTGCGCCAAAATACCAATATTACGAATGACATCAACCTGTGCGGCATCCTCCTGACTTGAATTTATCGAATTGAGCGACGAATAAAACATGTATGTGTACGGAAGACACTGATTAACATTATTAGAGTTGTGAGATAAGCTGAATATGTGACGTGAAGCCGCTAGGAGACCGCGCGCACCGCGCGTACGGATTCCAAGCATGAATGGTTCAGACTTACTTTAGTCAGTACACTGATTAACAATCTGTTATGCTGGTAGTAATTATTTACCGCAATTACTTTTCTTGAAATAGTAAAATATTAAGATTTTTAAAAAAGGTAAGATAAAGTATTAAAATTCAAAAAATAATAGTACTAAAGTAAATTTAACGTTGGACGTTGATGTTATTCCTTCAATTGAGAATTTTGGGAAGTGCGACATAATTGCGTCAAGTTGTCAAACGTGACAAATGTTCAAGTCAAAATTTAGTCCTTCACATCACAAGTTTTACACTCTATATCACCGATTCAGCAGAAAATACTTAGTTTACCAAACGACAAACCCAAGGAACAAATCCTCTTCCCAATTGGTAGTGAGTGAGGTGTACAGTCAACATGGCCAATGGTACGTTTTCACAAGCCTTCACGTCGTGTCCATACCCTCGTGCCTTCATCTTTGCTGTAATTTTTATAATTGACAATCATTACTCTCTGCACTTCATTCGTTCCAGAGCAATTCTACCTCGTCCAAGGTGCCCAAAACAGTACGTATGTATAATCCCACAGTAGAGTTTAAGCACCATTAATAACTTGAATATTTACACGAATGTCTGCAGTTGAGACAGATGAAGTAGACTATCGTAATTTAATGGTACATTATAAGCTGGAGCCGCATTTGGTCAAGATGGCAGAGACGACGCTACCGGGTACTTATCATCACCTTCTACGTGGTGTAGGGGATGCTCGAGATTCACTTACACCAGGAGAATGTAAAAGTGACCTTTTGTCACTATTAGATGGCGTACCTTTTGATCGTCCTATCGAGCCACTACCTGAGAGTGTAGTGAAGAGTGCATTTCAGCTTCCTGCAGGTAATAAGAGTGGACCTATAATGCATCCACTTGGTAGTCGGAAAGTTCAAGGACTTATCCATGCACCACCACCTACGGGTGCTGAACGAGCTATTCATGTGGAAAAACAGAAGGGAAAGGCTAAGGATGATAAAGACCGAAAAGAGAAGAAGGAGAAAAAGAAAAAGAAACGAGAACGAGAAGATGCGACTGTGTTGCAAAAGCTGTTAGCCCCATTAGTAGCTGAATTGCGTGCGCTTACATGGGCTGGGTGGGTAGTGAATGGAAAGGCAGGAAATCCATTCATACAAAAGTTTACAAAGGATAATTGCAAGCGACTGGGTGTACCAAATTATTTTGATTACGTGAAGAATCCAATGGATTTGACTCGCATGAAGGAAAAGGTAGAACATGCAGAGTACACAAAAATTGATCAATTTACTGCAGACATTAAGCTCATGGCAGCAAATGCGAAAACTTTCAATCGCGTTGGTGAACCAGTGCATCAAATGGCGATTGAGATTGAAAAGTTGTACGAATCGAAGTTGCCAGTGTACAAGAAGATGTTTGACGATTTGCAGCAAGAGCGGAAGAAACGTAAAAAGGAGAAGAAGAAACGAAAAGAAAAAAAGAAAGAAAAGTAAGTTTGGAATCGTTTAGCATGGTATGAAGAAGGTAGAGCATTTTATTATATTTGTTGTTAAATTTATATCACTACAAACCGCACAGTATCTTTGTCATCGTCTTCAACCTCTTTATTACTCAGTGCATCTGGAAGTTGCGGCGTTGTGGGTACCCACCAGCTCTTGACGTTGTTGCCAAAATACACAGTCACATTGTATAGAAAAGTATGATTAGCTAACTCTCCTCTCTTGCCAGCGAGAAACTCGAGTGTCGTCTTGCCTTCTCGCAGTAGCCATACGTGAAAAGCAAAGTATCCACCGAGCAGCAGTCCAATACCAAGTGACATGATTCGACTAAACCACAGGAGAGCGTTGAAATTATTATAATTCGTGTCTTTAACAAGCTTAACAACCATGAAATTAAACAAGAGACAGCTTAACGACGTGTAGATTAAAAAGAGCAAAAAGAATTTCTTATTACTCCAAGCCACACAATTGCCCGTCCAGGGGCAGTGATGATCCATACGGTACACGCATTGTTGACAAACTGAACAATGATGTACATATTCAGCTTTTTCGGCATCACAGCGTTCACAATAACGATTTACTTGCTTTGAATGATTAATTAGCTTTATGTTGACCGGACGAGAGTTCATGGCTCGCACATAGCTCCACAACATGAGTATAGTGACGACACAATAAATTACGTTAAGTGAAAGTCCCGAATATGGGCGTAGAATTGCAAGCCATATCGTTAGCTTAAGCAGCATAAGCCCGAGAGTGACAGCCACGAAGACTACATTGATCATGGTGAAACGACACAATATCTCTATTGAAGAACGTAATTTTCTCAAGAAGAATAATTTGGAGAATAGTATATATTTTCATTCTATCCTTTAATTAATGTATGAGGTATAGACCAAAATCAACAATAGCGTCATATTTGCATCAATTATTCTCAACACCTGCACATAATCGACCATATCCATTGACATACCTCGTTGAAACCCTAAATTTTATGCGTGTGGGGCAATCAAGGTGGCGGTAGCTTGCTGCGTTGTATCACCTTGCTTTTGCATTTCACGGTCAAAACGAGGGCGTCTATCCTCTTTTGATCTGTTGTTACGTTTACCTCCTGAAGCGTTTTTGTTGTCATCACTTGAGCGGGTTACTCGAGTAAGTCGTTGTTTGACTGCGTCAGTAGAAGACCCATTCGTCTTATTGCCACTACTGTTACTACTCTTCTCTCTCCAGCGACCCTGATTACGACGGCGTTGACTCTTTTGTGGACTATTACCTCTGGCTTTCTTGTCACTATGAGACGAATCTGACGAAGCAGACGGTGAAGTGGTACGTTTAGTTGTCACACCAGCAGCAACCGCAGCAAATGAAAGCGGTGGAGTAGGAATAGATGATGAAGATTCATCTTGCACTTCACCCTTCTCCTCATTCTGAATTTCGCTATTCGTACAAGTCTCTTCAATAGACTTGACCTCAACAGCCGCATCCAACGATCCATTGACAACATTTGTTTCCTTTAAATTGTCGTGCTCCGCCTCAAGTTGTGACTCGGTAAAGAAGCTAATTTGGGGCATTGTATTGATCTCGGCAGGCACAACAGGAATGTTTATTGGTTCTTCGACCTCACTCTTTTCGTTTTCCTCCACGACATTCTTGGCAGCCATTTTTAAAACGTCATTTTTCTCTTCTGCTTTTCCTTTGTTGGACAAATCGGACGCCAGCTCATTCACAAACACTTTTAATTCACTATACGTTGTTTCACACGCAAATATCTTGTCGTTGTTCGTCAAATATTTTTTCGCTTCTTCAAGAGATTCCATTAAATTCTCATCGTATGACAACTCGGCTGGTGGACGTGTAATACCAAGCAGCATTTTCGAGAAAAAATCAAGTACCATTGGCACTTCTTTTCCCAGGGCCTGATGTAGATTAACCACGTGCAGCGCCTTCAACAGCTCAATTACATCGGCAAATTCCTTCTCTTTCTTGCTGAGTTCTCTGTTTTCCTGAATCTCTTCAATATTGTGTTCACTTTCTAGAGCTACCACTTCCGTGTCTACAGGCTCCTGGTATCCTTCCCTCGGCTGTTCACAAACCGTAACAGTTTCAGCTTCCTGTAGCTTCTCTTTTTTTAATTCTTCACTAAAGACTCCAATAAACTGCTCGCGAAGCATCTCTAATTCTGCAACAAGCTTTTCAAATGTCGCCTTGTTGCTCATGAGATCTAGCTGCTGAGCATTCGGTACCTTACCCTCATGCTGTTGTGCTAGCTCTAGACTCTTAATTTTCTCAAGTTTCTTGCGATGCGAACGAATACGTTTGTAAAGCACGCTTAGGTACGGATGATCGATACTTAAGTTCCCCAAACGCTCCACTTCACTTAGCTGTTCTGTTGCAAGAACTGTAGCAACTGCTGACTTGACCTTAATTGTAGACTTTTTAGGTTTTCTTTGCGAGGTCGACACATTCTCTAATGAAGAGTAAACAGGCTCGGCATCAGATCCGGTAGGAACGTTACTTTCACGTTTATCGATGACGTTGGTCATGGTGCTTTTTGGGCTATGCACAAAAGTCGACGGTAGTGGACGCGTATCAAGAAATGAATCGAGGAAATCCAAGCTACAAAATGGTGTATTTAACATTAAATTTAAAGGGCATCGTGTATGTCACATAAACTACGACATTAGACAGCTTCAATAATCTCATCCACTAAAACTTCGTCCACTTTAATGCCAAATGTGCCATCTCCAATAATTACCATCTCTTGCGATGTTGTAGACATTGAAGAATGGATATAACTTTTCAAAACATTCTTCAAAACAGACTCATCTGACACGGCTTCATGATGACTCGTCGGTTCGTCAGTAGCTGCAGCACGTAATTTGCTCTGGCTCAATATCTCATCATCAACAATGCTTTCAGCTTTGTCTTGTGCTGTAGCTTTAAGATCGTTCTCCTTTTCATCTTCCTCCTTTTCATCCGACATCAATTTGTTTTCACTTATCTGATCTGTTTCAGCTTCATCCTCAACGGGTGTGACTGGACTTGTCGTTTCTTCTTGACCTAATACATCAGAAGGCTGTCCAACACTGGCAGTGTCGGCAACAAGTTCGGACGATAAACCTAACTGTGTTTTCAAGTGTGGACATACAGCGTCGATAACTGCACACGTCTCATCAAACAACGTCTCGTTGCAGCCATCAGTACTCACCCGTTCAAGAACATCTTCAGCTTTCAGCACGAGCAAAAGATTATAAAGTGATTGCAGCGTTGTTTCGAAGACGACACTCGTCTGCTGCGAAGTCATGGAAGCTGGCAAGCTTGATGGTACAAGTTTATTTGCTAGACGACGTAACACCTTGAGCCACAGCTCAGGGAAGTCTGGCAACTCCATCAACACATTCAAATTGTGAAGGAATGTCTTGGACAAAAGTGTGACACTATATAATGGTGCATCACGTGCCGTTTTCAAAGTGACATCGTTCACTTGATCATCAAAGGCAAAGATTATATCATTGAAGCACTGTTTCCAAGTATCTCTGGCAATCGGAACTCCAGGAAGCAGTAGTGAATTGCGTAAACAATCCCAAGCAGTCTTAGCTACTGGTGGTCGATCATCGCTCAGATACTTCAGCATCACTTGCATCACTTGCAGCCACGAAGGGCCATTCATCTTGTAAGTATTGACACTATTAGCCAGTCCTTGCAAGAGTTTGAGTGCGTCAGCTGCGTACGACGTTTGGTGTCGAATAAAGCTGCAGCACAGTGACATCCACGGCTTAAAATTGTCGTCGTTTAGATGGCTTTTCTCCGCGAGCAGAATTACACTATCCCAGCAAGCTGCTCTGCTGTTAATATACTCAACAACATTTTGTAAAATGCCCAAAAGTACTTCCCAATCATGAAAATCTTGCATGTAGACCAAATTCGCCTTGAGCAGCATCGCCAACCCAGACGCTAGTCGATCACTCAGTGCCTTGTACATATCCTTGTCCATTGTCAACAGCAGCTCAAGCGTCGCCATTAGCTTCGGACGCACCTTCTCATCGTGGAAGAGTCGAATACTCACACGTAAAATATGCACTACAACGCGTTCAACCAATCCTTGCATGTGAAGTTCGCTCAATGGCGTCGACAGGATACGCTTGGCGTACAAATGAAACGAATCCCACAAATTGAGCTGCAAGATGCGGTGCGAATTAACCAAAATGATGTCAACGCTCAGCTCTAGTACTAAGATTGCATTCTCTTGCATCATCGCATCGACACCTGAATCAGACGGCTGCATGATGCATTTAAATGGGTCACGACACGATATTAACGTTTCCAACAAGCTCGTAAGCGACTTTTCATGTAGTTTACGAGTCAAACGCAGCCAGTTTTCCTTCTCGAGAATCCCACCGCCTAGATTCATTACCTCTTCACGAAGCATTTGATTGACTAAAGAAAAGCTGGCATTGATTTTCTCCTCTTCCGCCCAAAGATAGTTGGACAATGAATCCCAAAAGGAGCCGCTACTGACACCATGACTTCCGTAAGCTGTTCCTTGACTCGCTTGTGTCATGCTCTTCATGCGACTACGAATCGCAGCTTGACGCTCTGCCTGGCGTCGAGAGCGTTCACGGGTCTTTCCGGCGAGGCCGGTAGCACTCTGTCCGCGACTGGGTGACAACTTTGGCTGACTAGATACAACAGTCGAATGGTGACCTTGCATTGGGGGTAGCGGGACACCGCGAGAGTCAACAAAGTCGTCAATTTCGACCAACGAGGTAGGAACAGCATCCAATTCATTGAACATGAGCAGACATTCTACGACACTAGCCCAACCTTTGACAAAATACTCGCTTTTGTTCTGTACAAATTGAAATAGCATCTTGAGTGCAAGTAGAGCTCGACGTGCCTTCGCTCCCTGCACTGAATCCTCGTCAACTGACCCGTCCAACTGCAGTGAAGGTGCAGCCAGCACTTCGACTTCTGATCCATCATCTTTTCGACGGACAATACGCTTTCCAATTGTCTCAGTTGCTCCAGAATTCGACGGTGATGGTAAAAGTGAGGATGTTACGTTACTGCTCAATCGTGGCGGTATGTATACTTTTTCACCACTCAAAATACCGTGTGCAAACGTGAAAAAATACGACGCTAAAGCACCCATAATCTTATTGAACTCGTCAGTCATATCGTAGTAAAGCATGATCTTCGCACAGTTGCTTAGCCCTTCCAGTGAACGTTCCATGTTGGTCAAATCGCACGTTTTCTCAAATGCCAGAAGAATACTCTTAATTGTACTCTCTGAAATCAAATTAAACATGTCTTTCTCATATAATCCAGCACGTAGCTTGAGAATGCTCGTATTGGAGGTGAAACTCGCCCCAACCACATTCTCCGAGCGCTTTAAAACACCATCCCATTGCATTGAGTACCGATCCACAGTTGATGAGGGAGATTCCATGAAGTCGGACACATCGTGTTGCATTTGAATCTCCTTTTCAAGTATATTGTAATACAGATCCGTCAGATATCCCGTAGGAAGATCCTCACCGGCATTTATTCCGCGGTTATTGCGAATAAATTCTTCGAGGGTCATTTTCTTGGCAATGTGGTCCGAATGCAAATCCGTGTTTAACATGATGGTACTAAATGCTAGAACGTACGCCGCATCAGCGTCTGCCAAGGGCCCGGATGTTCCTGCTTGTAGGTAAAAGTGCTTGGAAAACGCCTCCATCATTCGATCAATCTTCTGAGCTTCTCCTGGTAAACGAAATCTGGCCAAAAACATTCGCAACGCCTCGTCTAGTGACGGTACCGAATGAAAGTCAAACATAGCTACATACGCTTCTCGTACTGCCGCATTAAAAGGATATTTTTCAACTGGTCCGTCCCCGATATAATCGCCAATAAGTGTTTTATTCAATCCGGGAGTGTGTAATAAAAATGAAGCAACGGATTCAGGAGTTAACTTTTCGGGCAATAGTCCAATTTGTTGCGAGAATGCCATCCAGTTCTTCTGATCGTGATTAAATTTGTCTGCAGCCAATGCGTAGCGTTTTTTAATGCTTTTGCGCTGCTGTAACACTTCAGCTGTACGTTCACGTGCAGTGTGTAGCCATGCCAATTGATCTGCCGGATTTTCTAGTTCACTCTGCTCTGAATCCGAATCACTTTCACTTCCGGACATGACGAGTTGCATTAGATCTCGGACTGAAGACAGCGGCGAGATATCGTCCTTAAGAAATTCACTCGATGAATTCTCGTTACCAGGAGAAGCGCCGGCTGTAAATCGTGCAAGGTCTGATCCTTTCAAGTTCAAAACGCCTGTGGTGCTAACCGTAGGTCTGGATCCAGAAGCATTTAATGGACAGCGTCGAGCAATCGATTCAATCACTGTAAGCAATCCCTCAAGACACAGTAACGTAAGAGCGTTCAGGCTACCGTCCGGACTGGACATGGACTGACAATTCTTAGCAAGTGACTTGCACAAAACCTCAAACAAGTTGGTGCAATGAACGTCACAATCGTAATTAATGTAAAGATCCAGCATTAGTGCAGGTTCACGACAAAACTCAAGTAATGATTCCAATGCCAGCTCCTTTTGTTCATTTGAGCAAGATGGAGAATCGATAATCCGCATGTGGACGCTAGTAAAGAAAACTTCCAACTGGACTTTCAAGTGATCTTTTATCGAGTTGAACAAATTAAACACAACACGAAGCGTAAGCGACAAAATACCTAATTCCTCTGTCTCCGAATTTTGCAGCAGAAACTTGGACAAGTCTCCCTGCAGAACCGACACCAAGCACAAGTGGTTGCCAAGCCCAGTGCCAGCAGTTTCCAACACAACGTTTATCAATCTTAATCCCAAAACACACGTCATTTCTTCGTTCTCTGTTGGTGATATAAGCCCCGAAATAAAGTGCAAAATCCGTTCTAATAACGGTATTCCGTACGGTTTATCCACTATCTTCGCTGTGTCAGGCGTCGACTCGACAGGTGCTAAAGTTTCCTGCTCTTCAATATCAAGACTTTCGTCATACACCGGCAATGTCAACACCTCTTGCTCTTTGTTACTCGCTTCATTATCCTCTTTCTGTTGATCATTCGACTCATCCTGCAACAATACTGGTAGTTGTGGCTGACTCGATTTCCTCTTCGGTTCCAACTCATTAATGCGATCAAAAACAGTCAACACCAAGTGCGACAGCGTGTTATCTGCTGATCTGCTTAAATGCATAGAAGACCTTGGTTGACATCGAATACTGTAGCACAATTGTAGCATTTTCCATAAATTCTCGTCTGAGATCAAATGTCCAGCATCACATCGAATACAATACTCCACAAGCTCCAACAACTTCATTAAAACCGCTTCGTCATCTGCTCGATAAGTTTCTTCAAATCTACAGCGAGATACACACACAGCAATGCGATTAATAGCTACATCTGCTCGAAGAGATTCACTAGTTATAAGTCCATAAAGTAAAAACTTGTTGATAGCAGAGATAGCAGCGCCTGTGATAAATCCACTCGTGCGTTCAGACTCAATGACCATTACAAACGGTAAAAGATACGAGACGGTGTCAACATCTGATAGATCAATCACTGATTGTAATTCATAGTGCAGTTGCTTGAAAGCTCGCATCATCGGTGATTGTGTCGATGCAGGAATCTCTTTTGTAAAACGATCCACAGAAGCCCAACGAGCATTCACGCGCATCATGGAAAGAACATTATGAATCTCGCCCTTGACGCAATTCATGTGGAAAGAATTGAACCTTGTAGTGATTTAAAAGCGGGGGGAATGATTGTTGAATGACACGTCGGTTTTGTACTGATAATGTCGTAGTAACGTTGCACAATGGAAGAAGATTAATAATTGAGAATTTTGATCTGAAATTGAAGTTGAAAGATTTTTGTATTACAAAAAACGTAACAACTATACGATCGTCATCTTAGCGACTTGTGTGCTTACATATGCCGCTTGTCTTTGAGAAGCTTCGTGGTGAGAGGGCGCTGCATATTGTGCTGTGTAATGAAGCCACTATTATGGACTTAACAGCTTGAGTGTGAGCGCTTACGAATTCCAAACTATCTCAACAACCTACTGCTGGCGTCACGCTCGCTGCAGATCATCGCAAGGATATAAATGGTAGTTAATATGAGCTTCGACTAGATCAATATGCCTTGATCGATTTGTGAGAGAGCCAAATGCTTCTTAATGGGAAAAAAATAATTCAAAAACACAGAGAGCGAGGTTTGCGACAAGCTGGAATGACCTTTTAGCTTTCCACAATCCTTCGTACAGCATTGTTATCTGCTCATACAGGAGTATCACATTTTGCTGAATGTGCCAAAGCTCAGCCTGAGAACTTATCAATGACGAGACATGCGGGGGCGGTAAGTGCATAATTGATCCCAGTCCAGTTATGGATGATTCGAATCTCGAGGAACTTTGACAGCGAGTCACAATCACTCGAATTTTATACATCTAACTCCTGATGGTTCCGACAAGTGATTCCCGAAACAAAGGTAAAATTAGTGAGTTTATCTCAAATCAGACTTGTCGATCCCGCATTCACTTGTCTGTAGTATCGTTAGACTTTAGTGCTTGTGAAAGTGGGCCAGTTTTTTATGTCTGGCTAGTTTCTCAGTCGAAGCTTCTTGCCAAATCTATCCATCCCTGCAATCCGAGACTCAAGAAGGGTAGCTGCCAATCTTAGACGAGATTTCAAGGTAACTAGTATAAAGCCTCTGTCATGCACAATACATACTCCACTTTGTTTTTTAAATAACCCAAACGCACAGCAGAATCTCGAAATGCCAAGACGTTAGTGACTTTGTATTTTCGGTTTGGTATCATCCAGCAGGTGGATCAGTATATCGGAGTGCGGAAGTGCTTTTAAAATCTTATGTAACCTAGAACACCTGAGACTAAGTCATTGGAAAGAGCTCGTAGCTTTTGTTTGCAACATATCAAGGCGGGTTCTGGCGCTTTCTATTCTGTCTAAAATAGTATCAGCAATCCCGCTTCGAGTATCACATGCCATTGTATCAAGAAAGTATAAATTCGTTTTCCAGGAACAATTGCGGTGGGATCTTAGCATGACTTGTCCACTGAAGCGGGTTTTTATAAATTAAGCAAGAGAATACCCCGTTTCCTTACTTAGTGAAATGCAATGTTGATTGGAATAGAATATTTGTCTCTTATCCATTCAAATATATTTGGCAGGCAATATCTGGCCTTCATCTTGCTGTGCCTTCATTTAGATATTCAACTTGAAGTTTATTGTATTTTTTTGTTATTTGGCAACCCGGCACAGTTGTTCTTGCTTGCATTTGGCTCTTTGGCTAAAAAAACTGCTAAATCAGGCGATCACCTGAATGCAAAGCGTGCTAATCACCAATTGTCTGATCTTGCGCGGCATGACATTTTACGAATTCCTCTACGAACAACATAGCAGTAATTGTAAGGGGTCGCATGCGCATGTGTCTCAATCAGTTGCAATAATTAATGACTTTTAATGAAAGTTATCACACACGACTCGATATCTACATTGCCAGCTTTCGTCATAGCCACTCCCTCTGCACGACGGTGCGCTCCTAGTTTGGGGTGTTGTCAGAAGAGAAGAGAAGAGAAGAGAAGAGAAGAGAAGAGAAGAGAAGAGAAGAGAAGAGAAGAGGAGAGAAGATGAATCGTGATTTTCATGTTAAAGGTCTCTTCCGCCCTAAGATTTGTATCTGCTGATAAGATGACAAGAATACTGTGCAGGCACAATTTGACACAGAATCTCAGCGACAGTGGGGAGATAAACTTCCTGACGCAAATTCTCTAGTGCTTCGCACGGAAGAAATCGTTAATGAGACCGCACGGTTCTCTTATTAAGGGTCAACCTGTTGGACGCAATACCTGTTTCCTGAAACCATGTCGATTCCATGATGCACTTCCCAATCTGAAAATGACATATTTTTGAACCATTCGTCGTGTCAAAGGGTGTATGTATGACTCTGAAGGATAGCTGTACCACTCTCCGCACTCAGCGTACTTCAAATGTAATCGATGACTGGTTCGCCCATTACGGATGATAAGCTGAGCTTCTTATCCGAAACGAGTCGTACCCAAGTTGGCGAGTTCACTGTCTTGCAATTCTTCGCAAATATTTTCTAGGTATTATTATCCAGCTCTGTAAGACCTCCTGCCGGAAGTAGATTCGATCCACAGGACCACCTGGTCGCTACATTTAGGAGTAAATGATGTTCATACTTGAAGATTTATCGCTCCGCGAGGTGGTCATCAGACAATATTGCTGACTCACCATTACCGCCGTATCATGACAGGTATAAACCATTTTGCTCAGATTCAGGACCTGGCCATTCTACTCACGACCTGCACTTTCCTATCCAACCCACGTATCAGGCACGGGAGTTTGCGACAACCTGTCGCTTCCGCTCTTTGCTGGCCCTGGAACTGGAGGCAACAGCACACAGTTGTACCTTACACTTTCGCCACAGACACACTGTGGGAATCACGACATAAATTTATCCTTTCTCATGTCAACACATAATTTTTATGGAGACCGCGATATACAATTGCTTTTTTCTTTATCTCATCCTGTGACTGCGGCTTACTACCACTTCTGCTGCCTGAGATCTACCCCAAACCTTTGAATATAATTGCTTCCGATATAGGACATTACTGTGTTTGGCACAAAATCTATCGCAGCTACGAAACCGTACCAAAAGATCTTTGTATTCTTGGCACGAGAACTTTTATGACTAGCCCATGATTTATCAGAAAATAATTGGGTGGACAGCTAAGTTGTTGACTTTCTGTTAACCCTTAGCCCGTGAGATTTTCATCACGCCTTATTTAGATTGAGATCATATCTTTAATCTACGTTTAGGGCTAGACAACATTCCATGCTAGAAAGTCTTAAGCTTTACTTTAGATCACCAAGACACCCTGACACCTCGTTGCGTCTACATTTGGCATCTACAAGGCCACCACAACCTGTATATCATTTCTGAAGTCGTGCGTCGTACATAGTGACACGGCACTTTTGAATCTATCAGTCCTTTCTACGGCTTCTCAGGATCCGAGACACTGATATCAGGAGCTAGCAACTTTTAGTTATGATCTCACCTCTCTGGGTCCTAACAGAATTTCCCAACGGTTTTACATGCCCGCAATGTTGATGGTGCTATCAGCATCTTCTCTTGAGACAATAGGTTTCTTTGGACTTATCTATCTACACCACGTGGAAACAAACTTTTTAGTTGATGGGCCGCTTTGCGCCAACTGGGACTTTTACTTTTCCGGCGACGAATTTGTCGTTCATTTTTTGCGGGAGCCCAACCCCTAGTAAAATTATGCCGAGAACAAATGAGGCACACAAATGATAATAGTTTATACCATCACACTTGAAACTTCTGCGAGTACCGCCCATCAGCCAAGAGCTTATTATGGCATAGATCCATCGCCTCAGGCTCGATCACAAAGAGTACCCCATCTGACCCTGCGGTACCGAAGCTGTTTATCGTTTTCATCGTTACACTCATCGCTTCCTCAACAGAGTAAGGGTGAACGCAGAAGGTCTCAATACGAGCTGCACCCACTCAGAGACCTTTGGGGGAGGCAGTTGCGTTCGAGAAAGGACAAGTCGCCATTGCAGCGATAATTGTTCGTGACTTTTGAAAATAGTCCGCTAAAACCCTGTCTTCTTCGACGGTCTGACAAAATATCTGAATGCACCTTATACGCCTGAGACATCTGTCGCCTCAAAATTTTCCATATTATATATGTCTCTTCCTCAGAGGTATTAAACGTACGAGCCTATTGTCATGCGCGTCAGCTAGCTTGGAGAAAGCAAGAATCGCACTATTGCACTGCCAGACCCATAACCATATTAACTTTCCCCATCCCGAGGGAGAGATCTTCTTCAGCCCTACTCTCAGATCACTGAACGTTCGACATCAAAGGCCTCACGGTGGATGCCAGTGAGCGCGAGAGTTAAAACGCTTCTGAAATGTATCATTTATGCTTTAACAAAACTGGTGAGCTCTTCTTGAAGAGAGACTATCGAATCTGGTCCTTTGGCCTCCAGTTTTGATCCCATAAGACAAACAATATATAAGCCTACTATATACAGCTATCCTACTCTGAATCTCATGTTGTACATAGATTGATTGCGAATGCTTCCAAGTGCATTGAGGTTGCGGTGCACTTTAAACATAAAAATTGGCAACTTGAAAAAGTTGTTTAGACAAACGCGCAGAGACTTGAATCGTGAACGAGTGGATTAAAGCCTTTTAGGTGACAAAGCTCTGCTATTTTAAGCGGTTACATTTCTACGTCTACTGAGTATGTATAATTTGCCATATCGTAGTTATATTCACAACTCAACAGCCCAGTTACTATGAATAGATACAAATTTTATGAGCTTCATACAATTATACAATACTAATTGATACAAATATACTAGAATTAGTGTCATCCGCTACGCCTTCACCCTGGTTTTTGTAAGCTAAGATCACCACGATTCTTCCTATTGCTGACACCTCTATTGGGCATTCTAAAGACGTTATTAGAGCTGACCAAGATTAATTCTTCGAGATTAAATCGTATTATACTATATCATTACGATGGCGATGTTCTATGCTTAGAGCAAACAAAAAAATCTATTTATTATCTTGAAATCAATTCTTTTGTCTCAACTGTTAAAAAAGACCTATTTCGACAAAAAGAATGGTCGCTTAACTATCGTTAATTATTTGGTCCAATCAAGAACAGGAAGAAATAATTGGCACTCCTCGATTCATATACTCTGTCATCTTAAGCAATGAAGCTTAACGACGCACTCTTTGTGCTTGCTTCCCTGCTGCTTTTCAATGTAGACATCGTCTTTGCCACAAGAAACACTACCGCGATATTGCTTGAGTCTGCACCTTTAGAACCCGAAAACCTTCGAACAAAGACCGATAATCATGGGACTGGCAAGGAGAACGAGGATGAAGACAGGATGATGTCCGTATTAGACAATGCGGCTCATGCCACTGAAATCTCTACAGAATCCGTCCAGCCTAAGATCACACTGTTAGGTGATGATTTACTGGAAGTAGTGAATGACTACAAAAAAAAAACTCGGTAATCACTGCTTCAGGGGTCTTCAAAGATTTTGGATTGGAACCTTTTCTCTTGAGCCCGACACTAACCCCAGAGGATGCGATTGAGCTGCTTAGTAGTGACAATTACATGTTTTGGTGCGTCATAATGAAACCATTTGGAGATGAAAATTTGACGCCGGACCAGATTGTGCTTCGACACTTGAGTGAACTGTTTCAAGGTAAAGAAGTTCTGCTGATTGTATGGGGACTCCATCAAAAAGAAAGCGTTAAGGCAAAAAGGAACGCCGAAAAGCTCAAACTCGCGCTGTTTAAAGACATGCGACACTCGAAGAAGATTACTACGTACAATGATTTCATTGCGAAAGTTTGGCCGAAGCATTTATCAACTGTGAAGCGTCGTAGAGGAGATCCAACAGCTTGATAACCGCTTTCGGAAGTACGCAACGAACTCAATGAGCGCAAAGATAGTAGAGATATTGCGTAAAATAATCTGCAAGTGAATTTCGTCATATTTCATAATATTTTGGTGAGATGTTGGCTGACGTTTGTAAGTGTAAGAATCGCACGAGATCGCACAATTCAAGGTAGACCCACGTCAGATGAGTACTATTCTCAATGAGTATGGGTCGTACTCGCCGTGGTCGCTGAAGCTGCCAAGACAAACATTAACAAGCCAAATCTATCAGTGCAAATCGAAATTACTTCCAACAATCGCATTATGAACGCCTGAAATTATCAAAATGTCCTGTTTTCGAAGAAGCAACTGATAAGTTGCAGCCGTTTTTGTCTTACACTTTCACTGGCGTAATTCGTTTTCGTTTCTTTGCAATATTTAAGTCGGAATTTGTCTCTATTTTGGCATGTTTAAAGTAAAGCAAAGGACGAAGAGTGTCTTTGCTTGTATTAGCCAATCCACGATGCCATACACGATAATCCATGATGATGGGAGTTCCTGCTTGGATATGTGCAATAACACTAGGAAGATCTTGATAGTCTTCAAATGCTGTACCACGAGCTCCATTTTCGTGAATATGCGACCTTAATTTCATTTCAGTGCCTCCAATTTCATCATTTAGTGCTACAAGTGGCACAAACACATTCAGACGATCCACTAAAATTACACATATACCCAAATCAATTACCATTTATCATATCATAGAATTTACAACGACCATACCTGATTCTTGAATAGTTTTGTTGCGATGAATTCCATCCAAATGCCAATTTTGTGCCTCATCTCCAGGTTGGGATACAACACAGCCAATGTACTCAAGATGAAAGTTATGTGGTGAAAAAAGTTCCTTAAGTACAGGCTGCCAGCAAATAGCCATGTCCTTAAGTAATATCATGTCTACTAAAGACGACGATTGAGTCGAATATTTCATCAAAAAATTGGTTTCAATAGCCAAACTGCTTAACTGCATATCAATTCGACCACCTTCGCGCACGTAGAAGCCCGGAAGACGCTCAGCATGTTCGCGTAATGTCAAATCTAAATTCTGAGTGGCAGCTTCACTCAAATATATTGAGAACTGGTAAAGCACCTGAGTCCGAAGTTTCTGAATTACAGACAACGAGGATCCGTATGATGCATACGGCAGCGTAACAAAACCATCAGCATGGACAAGACGAGCGAGGTCTCAAGCTTTCATTATATTTAGCAAAGAAAATTAAGATAGCAAATAATTCAGCAGATAAAAACCTGGAACGAAATTTGAAAATGCTCGTAAGGGTGAATACTACAAATACATAGCTGCAATACGTAT